TATATATATATATATCATCAGCCTTCAATAATAATTTTTCTATATGGACAAATAAGTCCTGCAATTTTTTTACCCAGAATTATTACAAAACTGGAAATCAAGAAATTGTCAGGGAAATTAAAAATTGTCAAAGCAATTAGGAAAAAGTCAGAAAATTATGCAAAATTTTCTGGAAAATAAAAATTTTTTAACTTTAAAGAAGTTTAATATATGTATACATCACACCTACGCAATTTTGAAATATTATTTCAATTTAACTCTGAGAGGTAGTGGGCGTTTCACCTTTTGTTCTTAATTTTTTCCATATTTCTGATCTATTTTGCAGTTTGTATTTTGCGCATGAGTATTTTTTAAACTCTTAGGGATCTAAGTTATGCAATGAAAAATTACGTTAATTTAATTATTTGCAATTTTGTTATAAACAATTAATGTAAAAAAAAACGTCGTTTTTTTAATAATAAATTCAGCTATTCTTAAACGTGAAGTGCTAGAACTCTGAAAATTTTTATGTCTCATATTTTATGTATGTCTCAGATATGTTCTATATCTGAAACTATAATATATATTTTTTTCAGAATTTTTTGCTTGCTGGTTTTTCCGAAAAAAATTTGGAAAATTAATCTATCATAAGTCTATTTATTATTTATTATTTATTTTGTAATTCTGAATCAGAATCAACTAATCAGCGACCCCGAAAATCCATAGATTGATAGACCTATGATTTCAATAATTTGTTTAGAAGAAAAATGTGCTCCTCAAAGAATTAACAATTAAAAATGCAAGTAGCAATGTCAGCAGCAGTAATTTATATTGTTGTATTAAATTGATTTCTCAATAAAATATTTTTAAACGATTTTCAAATTAGCATGGAAATACAAAAAAATTTCAAAATATTATTGAAAATCATGTTTGTCTGGAAATCAGGGAAAAATTATGGAATTTTAGAATAAGGAATTTGTGACAATCCTGTTATCGCACGAAAAAGAGTCTGGTTGCATTAATTGAAATTCTGATAAAAAATAATAAATCAAAATTTTCTGATTGAACCTGACAGAATTCTAGTTCTGATTATCTCAATTAGAATTATAATCAGAATCTTCTAGTTTATTTATTTTCAACCATCAGAAAATTTCCTTAGTTAGTGCGGCTACAGATTTTTTTTATACCCGACAAATTAATATATTTTTAATTAATCTAAAAAAATGTTATTTTATTTTTGGAACAAAGTCGTCCAACCACTTCGCAAACACATGCATCGGCACACTGCGAGCCGTTAAGAGAAGATAATATGCTTCAAATACGGCAAAGTCCCACGCTCAATGTAAAGTATAGGCCGTCGCCTCATGCAATTTTCGCGATAAGCTTGCATTATCGTTCGCACGTGGCCCGCCCCAGCTATAGCGTTTACGGTATACGAGGCTCGGTTACGAGCACACAATCTGTTTCTATCCTCCGCCTCCTCGCTCGAGACTCCAATCTGAATCTACACGCGCGCGGTTTGTTTTCGCAGGTGCATCTGTACTTCAGCGCGCTGCCGGAGGACAAGATCCCGTACGCGGGTAGCGCCGGCGAGCGGGAGCGGGTGAAGCAATTGCTGCAACAGCTACCGCCGCACGACAATGAGGCGCGTTACTGCAGCGGCCTGACCGAGGAGGAGAAGCGCGAGCTGCGGGTATTTGCGGCTCAGCGGAAACGCGAGGCTCTCGGTCGCGGGCACGCGAGTCAGCTTGAACGGCCGCATGGAGCCGGATGCCGCGAGTGCGGCCGCGCGATTGCGGCCGGCGAGATGGCCGGCGCGGCGAGCCGCGCGGGCCCGGCGGCG